TTTCCTTAGTCAACATGACTCCCAGAAAGAATTAAATATGTGTTTGCTCATGACAAGTCATTTTAAGTGAAAAGAGAAAATATTTTTTATATTATATGTGCATGCTTAAATGTCCTCTATCTTCCCATGTGTGTATAAGGAAATGCTCAGACATATGATTAAATAATTGTAATTTTTTTGAGAAAACTATTTCAGAACAGAAAGTGCATGTATGTGTGTCTACATGGACATATACATGTAATGCAAATTTGACTTTTAATGAACACATATATTTCAAGAGCTAGCATCAAATATGGAAAGCACCTAACATATCATTCATTCATCCAGGTTCTATATTTCACAGAAAAAAGAAACAAGCAAAATAAAACACATTGCCCCTCCCCACAGAAGCTGAGTACTCCTATAAGGCCTGTCTGTGCAATAATGGTATGTGCACACACATAAAATGCACAACAAGGCTCTTCATAAGTCCAGTAACACAGGTACATTCTTGTCCCCTTGAGTCCAGGCCAGCACCCCCTCTCCCCAGCCTCCTGCAAAGCACTGACCAGTGGTAATAATTTCCAGAGGTTTGTGTGATTGCAGGAGGGCATGCCATGAAATCTGACTCACTCTCACTCACCACTGTGCCTTTAACACCAGGCAGTAGTCATTTAACTGGGCATTAAATGAATGATAATCACTGTTATGAACAACGGAGAAATTCATGCTTCATTAATGTCATTTTCCCATCGTTTTGGAAATGTGGGTAACATCCTGTGCTGTCTGTTGGGTACAGCCTTGTACCAGGGGTGCTTCTGAATAGCTGAATAGAGACTTCACATTCCCTCTGTGTGGGTGTCTCTTTCTCTCTTTAGTTCCGAGTTTTAAGCAGCATCTTTAGAATTGCTGAGATCATGTTCGGCTCACTGAGCCACACCCAGCTCTAAACAGAACTAACAATTATTCTGTATCTGATGATAAGGGCTTCACATTTGCCTGTGGCAGAGTGCCCTGTCCTTCAAGGCTCAACCATGTTAGGCTTTGTGAATTACCTGACACATACATCATCACCTAGTGTGTGGAGCATTGAAGTTCGTGGGAGCTTTCCCATAAGACAGTAGAACAAGGGACATGAATGATCTATATAGAAAGTGAGCATCCCATTAATATCATACTTTAAAATAACAACTTCCACAAGCAATTAAAATCCTTTAAAAACAATGAAGATGC